AACTTTCTCTAAAACTTTTATCAACTAAATAGGTATCCACACACCCCTGAGGATGCCCCCTTACTATCAAGAACCGACGTGGGTTCCACTTCAGTAACCCATTTAGTAGCCCTGCAAAGACCTGTTTCCTCACAACCGGGAAAGGACCCCACCATTTACTACTTGTGGAACCCACAACAGGAGTTCCATGTGACAGTATTACTGAACGACAAAAGTGTCCTCCCAGGTGCTGGGCACTCTACGGCCATCACCCCTAGTGGGCAGCGCCCCACACCGCCCTCTGCCAGAGGCGGGGACATAGGGGGCTCTCGGGGTCTGAGCCGTGATGGCCAGTGAAGCGCAGGAGAGGGGAGCCTGCCTATGGCTGGTCCTGGGTCCCTGCCTCTCCTTCTGCACCATCTGCGTCTCCGACAGTTCCTGACATAACAACCCTGATGGCCAATCACTGCCGGAAACATCACTAGCCTAGAATCCCCAGATCAGATCTTACCGACGGGTTCCCCCTGCTGAGGATGGAAGGAGCCAAAGAGCCTGAGGAGAAGGCTGGCGAGTCGCAGGATGTCTGCGTTTAAAGCAGTCTGGGTCTAAGTGGGCTTTGGTTTTTCTCCTTCACTCCCTGGGCCCCAACATTCCCCCCCTCAGCTAATGGGCCCCAGCTGGACGGACGTGGCAGCAGAGACAGGGCCAGGGTCTGACAGGCTCCGGCGGGCAGCCTGGCCGGGAGGGGACACAACTATTTATTTGGAGGGGCCGCACTGTGCCCCTGGGGGAGTTCAAGCGGTCAGATGCGCCCAAGTGGACTAGTGAAACCTGCCTGGGGTGTCACTGGCCTTGGGGGCGAGCTGCCCTGCAGTGCCCCAGTGTCCGACAGGCCCCGGGGCACGTTACGGTGAGTGGAGAGCCCGGGGGGACTCTGTGGGGGCTCCTGGGGCAGTAGGCATGATGCCCAGAGCCGGTCTCTGGTGCCGGCCAAATGGCTTCAAATGCGGGCTCCGCTGTCTAGGTCTTCTCCCCGGTCAGATGGGGTCACGGGGAAGAAAGGAAGAGCAGAGCTGGCCGTCAGCAAGCGACGGACCCACCCGCAAAGTGCTGAAAGCCAACGTCACCCGGACGACAACCCCAGAGGGTGAGCCGGGGCTACGATTCCTTAGAAGAAAGTCAGAGCTCAGAGGCATTAAGGGACCTGCCCAAGATTCCAGGGGACTGGAAGCTCTTCCTGACTTCAGTCCTTTCTTCCAAGATCTCTATTCACTTCCTGGGGCCACCACAACACGTCACCACAAACTTGACAGCTTCAACCAACAGAAGTGTAACCTCTAGCAGTTCTGGAGGCCACAAGTCCAAAGCCGATGTGTCAGCTGGGCTGACCCCCTCTAGAGTCTCTAAAAGAACCCCTTCCATCCCCTCTCCTAGCTTCAGGCCATGCGGGCAACCATGGACATTGCTTAGCTCCAGGCTGCAGAACCCCAGTCCCAGCCTCTAGCTTCATATGCCCTCCTCCCCAAGAGCCTCTGTGTCACAGGACTTGTCATTGGATAAAGAGCCCACCCTGCTCAGGATGGTCTCATCTAGAGATCCTTATCTTAATTACATCTGCAAAGACTCTCATTCCAAATAAGGTCATATTCTGAGGTTCTGGGTGGACACATCTTCTGTGGGGCACAAGTCAACCCACTACGGTCCACCCTCTGGTCCCCAAAACGTCACATCCATCTCACGTGCAAAATACTTTCACCCCATCCCAATATCCCAGATTCTCACCCCATTACAGCATTAACTCTAATTAGGTCCAAAATCTCATCTAAATATTATCAGCTCAAAAGTGTCAACAGCTAAGTCACCTAACTAGGCAAGAGTGATCTGGAATGATCTATCCTGGGGCAAGACGCCTCTCTATCTGTGGACCTGTAGTACTGGAAAACAAGTTATCTGTCTTTAAAATACAGGGATAGGGAGAAAATGGAAGGAACTCAGAGGTCACTGGTCCCAAGCAAGTTTGAAACCCAGCAAAACAAATTCCATTGCGCGTCCAGGCCTGCGAATGACCCTCTGTGGCTTGCTCCTTTGCCCTCTGGGCCCATGGAAGCTCCACTGGCCCTGGCCTCCGGGCTCGCCTCTCTAGCCTCTGCCTTTGTGTCCAGAGCTCTGCCCTTGGAGTCATTCCTCCTTTATCTTGAAGGATAACACATGTTGTGGCTGAGTCCTTCTACCTGTTACTTCCTGCATGTACAATCCCAGAAGTCCAATTGCTTTTTTTTTTTTTTTTTATTTTGTCGGGTCTCTGTCCCTTTACATCTTGGTTGGCAGTGTTTTTGATGATATTAACAGCCTCAAAAACCTGTGGGTCTCTCATGTATGTGAAGGGGATCTATGACATTCAGCAAGAGGGTTCTCCACAGATCCTTCCCGGAGAAGCCCAGCTCTTTCCTGGCTTCTGCTAGATAATTGATTGCACCCGTGAGACACAGACCCAAGCTCTTCAGCAAAGGCTGTCCAGCCTCACCCGTGGCCTTTCTCCAGGGCACGCGCTCTCAAAAGTGAACCTCCTGCTTTCAGCGTCCTTTGGGATCTGCACAAGCCAAGAATTTCCCACGCCATCAGGAGCTGGTTCCCCTTGCTAATCACAGCTCCTTCCTCAATTCACTCCTTTCCTCTCACATTTTATTATAAGCAGCAAAGGAGAAACCAGGCTGCACCTTCCACACTTTGCCTAGAGAACCCCTCAGCCAAATCCAAGTTCATTGCTACAAGTTCTGCTCCTCCCGACTAGTAAATTAGAGGCTTGCACAGCAATAGATCCAAGAGGGTTGGAAAGTAGGCTGGGGGAAAACAGGCGCCCAAAAGCAAGAGGAGAATGAACTTTATATTTGCCAAGCAACCTCCATGTGCCCCAGTACCACAGGTCAGTACCTGGGACTCTGAGAGACAAGTTCATCTTTATAAGTATGAAAACAGTGGACAAAGCTCTCAGAAGCCCCCACGCGCACCCCGGAGAGCTTAAGGTGGCCACTGGCCCTGCCTCCGCCTCCTGCAGGCCCTGGGCCCCAGCGCCGCGGCCACTGACTGACCCGGTCGTCAGACGCCTCTCCCTCCCTCCAGAGCCTCCAGCACCCAGGTCTGCCCTCTTCTGCTCCTCACCCCCTCCCAGCTGCTCGCCCAGGGCAGAGGGGGACCGGGGCCAGGGGGCCCCGAGGGGTCTGCCCCAGCTGGGAATTGAAACACAGCCACTAGTATAAGCTTAGTTTTGTTAAATGTAAGTCGAGTTTGTTTTCATAATTCTGTGCTTCATTTTTTAAGATCTGCGCCTTTAGTACTTGGTGCAACATGGATTTGAGCTGGGTAGTCTTTCTATCCAGGACTGACGGTCTTCACGCGAGGCTCCACGACAGCCAGTGGAGGAGGGGATCACGCCTCACAGTGTCAGGGGACCCTCGCCCTCCAACTCCTGCTGCCACCCCAGGCAGCCCTCAGGTTGGCCCACCCTGGTCACGAGACTCTTCCCTACGACCCCCGGCTCTGCAGGAGTAATGGGTGGAGGGGAGAGACCTCAAGCTGACGTTTCCGTCACCTGCGGAGGCACTGGTCACTCCTCTCACTCCTGAGATGCCCCTCTCCTGCCTCAGGCTGCCCCGCCCGGAAACGGCCAGGGCCAGGCACAGGGTCAGCAGTGCTCCGGCCTTCCCCTCGCTCGGTGCAGGCCCTGCAGGCACGGACCTCCCCCCAAGGGTGACGGTGAGTTTCACGTGCCCACTTGGCTGGGCCACGCGGCCCAGATATTTGCCGAAAGCATTATTCTGATTTCTGTGAAGGTGTTTTCTGGATGAGACTAACATTTAGATGAGTAGACCTGGAGTACAGCAGATGACACTCCATAAAGATGGTGGACAAGGCCTGAACAGGAAAAGACTGCCCTCCCGGGAAGAAGAGGAAATTCTGCAGCCAACAGCCTTCAGATTTGAATTGCGACTCTGCCCTGGGTCTCCAGGCCGCTGGCCTTACAATCATACCAGCCAGTTCCTTAAAATCGCTCTCTTTGTACACACACACACACACACGCACGCACACACACACCCTGTCAGTTCTGTTTCTCTGGAGGTCGGTGACTAATACACCCAGTGAGCCAGACAACCACACAGCCCATCTCCTCACAGGCGCCCGGACTCCACGCACCTGGGCTGTGAGCACCTCCAGTGGCCGGCACCGTCCCTGGCCTCGGACACAGGCCGAGAGCAAGCCTCCACTCCCCTGCACTGTAGCCTCCTCTGAGGACCAGAGACCTTCCCTGGACGCCAGAATTCCTGGGAGCTTTCCGAGTTCTAACCAGCCCTTGTTCCCCACCCTGGCTTCCCCTTGAAGGAGAAGGGCGGTTAGGGAGCTATAAGTTTTTCTTTTCCAGTAAACAAAAACCTTAAGCCAAGCCCACTGAAGGGAAGTATCAAGGCCACTGGACACCTTTTAAATCAGAGCCAGGCCAGAAGTTACCAGGAGTCGGGGGTGACGGGGAGACCCCAGCTGCCACCCTTCTCACAGGTCTTCCACAGATGACGTGGCAGCTGCCAGTGTCACTAGGAATGTGACACTCATCTGGGTGGTGTCCAGACTGTACGGCTCTGAGCAACACAAGGTTCTAATTGTGTTTAATTTGAAATCCTTGTGGTTAAGCAAAAGGGACCCAGAAATGAGTCCACACGTACTTGCCACCCTGACCTGGGGGGTTTGTAGAAAGGGGGAGGGGTTCCACCCAGCGCCCTCACTCCTGGGCCACATGCTCCTGAGCCCACACACCCTCTGGAGGCTCCATTTCTTCATAAAGAATGCCTGCTTGAGAGTCTCCCAACGACCTGGTGCTGCTCCGAGAATCGGGGCGAGCGGAAGTTCCAGCACAGGGGCAGGACAGGAGAGAAGAAGGAGCAGGCCCCGCAGCTGGAGAGGCACAGGGACTGTCCCCCTCCCTTCCCGCTAGAGGGAGGGGCCTAAAGGAAGGGCAAGGCAAGACTGACCTTGAGGGTAGGGATCTCCACACTGTCACCGAGGCTGACGGAGCCTGAGAGGATGGTCCCTGTCATCACAGTGCCTTGGCCTTTGATGGAGAAGCAGTGGTCCACAGACATGAGGAACGGTCCCGAGGGGTCTCTCCTTGGGATGGAAATCTGGGACGTCAGGAGCTAGAAAAGAGATGCTGGTGCCACACCCTGTCGGGAGAGGAGCCGGATGGGGCAGCGCAGAGAAGAGCAGTGGGGTGTGACCAGGGCTCGGGCAAGCTGGCCCAGGAGCTCAGAGCGGACCACCTCCGACTGCACTCCGAGCCTCTGCCAAGGCCCCACTCCCTCTCTCAGTGCAGAGGGAAAGGGCCCGTGGAGGACGCTCCTTTACCCTCTCCCACTGGGATTCCCACAGCGGCGTCCCAACGGGCTGGGCTCCAGGCCCGTACACAGCCGCGGAGGCAGCCCACCGAGGGCACCCGTGGGCACATCGCTCCCCAGCCTCACGTGCCCGCTCACACTGGGCATCGGCCACCGGCCAGCCCCGGCAGCTCGCCAGCCAGTGTGGCCTCCCCCTCCCCCCGGTGATGCTGCCTCTAGAAAGGCTCTTGCGCTGGCTGTGTCGCCAGGTAACATGCAGTTGGGATCGTCTGTCTGTCCACGCCCCCACCAGGCCGTGAGCTCCAGCAGCCGCATCGGGGTGCCTGAAGGGAACCTGAAGGACATCCCCGGGGCAGCAGCCTCTGTCTGGCAGGGCAGCGGTGAAGGCCCCTTCCCCAAGCCCCGGCGGGGACAGAGGGACTGGCCCTCCACGGTGGGTCTGCTTTTCCTGTTCTGCACACTCTCCCGTGTGCTTCCGCCTCAGCCAGCCCACTGCCCTTGTGCTCCGCAGTGCTGTCGGAGCTGATTACCAAGAAACAAATGGAAATCAAGACCACGTCAGTCCTCTTGCTTCTTTCTGATTTCGTTAGGGAAGAGACTGTCAGAAAAGTATTTGGTAGTGAATGTCCCACACTCTTAGTCTCATGATAACTCCTCTTGTGGAAAAAGGCTAGAGTCGCAAGGCAGGCCTGGCCTGAGGTGTGCGCAGAGGCTGCTCAAAGGGACATACGAACGACTTCAACAGCCGGCATTTCTGTGGATTTTGCTTTAACAGAAACAACTGTCCCAGGTTCCTAGACCAGTGCTGTCTGGAGCTGATGAAAAAGTAACAAAAGCTTCACCCAGAAAATGTTTGTTTTGCTAAGTTAGCAAGGTCAGCACCGTGTAATCACAGAAACAGCAGCCGTGCACGTGGTCACACCTGACCCTGGCTCTGCGGACCCAGGGCAGGTGGACCCCAACACAATCAACCTGGATCTGAATCCCAGCTCCACCTCATGCTTACTGTGAGACACCGGGCAAGTCACTTAACATCTCTGAGTCTCAGGCTCTTTCTTAGCAAAATGCGGATAAATACCTTAAACCTCTCAAGTCTTGTTAACAATCATGTAATCATGGATGTTAATAATCACATACGAAAAGAACTCAGGGTGGTGCCTGGTACATGATAACCAACCTCACCGTCAGAGTAAGCTCTGATACGGCACCATTCCAGCATGTGACACGTGTGAACACGAACTCCACACGCCAAGTGGTGGTACCATCTCCCTGACTTTATAAGTGATGGAACCGAGGCCAGAGAGAGCAGGTCTAGCGCGGAAGGTCACAGAGATGTGGTGAGGCCAGTGCTCTAATGCGCCGTCCAGGGCCAGGGTCAAAACACCTCACCCCCGCAGCCTCTGAGCTGCCCGGGGGCTCAGCAGAGGGACTCCACTCTCACCCTGCCCGCTGGGTGCCCCAGGCCCTCCCAATGGCTGGGCTCCCCCTCTGTCCGTGATCCCCAAGCCTGGCGGAAGGGACGAGGATGGAAGCCACGCTGGACCCGCCTGGGAGGGGCCCACTGGAGGGGCTGGCACAACCCTAGGTGCTGGAATGGGTGACGCAGCCCCAGAGCCCCAGTCTGGCGTGAGCTGCCTCGTGGACGAGTTTGACGGGGAAAGGAAAGAGGAGGCTCAACGAGGACGTGGACAGCTCTGCAGAGCCGGGGCTGCCCACTGGACGCCTGCAGTTCTGCTCTGATTGAACTCCGTGAGGACGGCGAGGGAGGTGGCACCGAGGGGTCAGTGTGGAGAGTCCCCTCGCTGGGCCCCCCCGGAGTGAGCCGGAGCCCCCGATGCGGATCAAGCTGGCGGTACCTCAATGAGCTCTGGGATGCCCTGTGGAGCTTCCGTTTCGGGGGCGTCCGGTCCCCCAGGCCTGGCTGCCACGGGTATGATGGGTGCACCTCGGAACCTGGAACAGAAAGACAAGTCCCACCACAGTCACCGACGAGCACGATGGGAGGTCTCTGCTCTCACCCCGTCGAAGGCGCCGAGGGGGGCGGCGTAGCTGTGCTCCCACCTGGCAGACCAGGGCGTGGAGGCCCGAAGGGAACGCCTCGTGTTGAACAAAAGAAGTTAGAAGGGGGCTCCTAGGTGTAGCCGCTACTCCAAACCCTCCCTGAGGAGGAGCGGTGAAGCCCAGGCCCCCGGCCCCTGAATAAAGACGCCCTTGGGGAGGACCATGGGGCACAGCCCAGCCTCCTGCAGAGACTCGGGAAGCACAGGTACTGAGAAGTCCCTGCCAGACCTGCCCGGAGGCCCCCTCCACAGCCTCCCGGCCTCCTGGAGAGCCTGCCGCTTTAAGAAAAGCCTCTTACTATGAGTATACGTTTACCTCTTCCACTGGAGAACAAAAAAACAAAAAACAGAAAAGAGAAAATATACAGCCCATAATCCCATCACTGTCGTGTGCTTTCTTCCAACCTTGGTTCCTCCGTGCACTGCCAAGGAGTTATTTTTTTCATATTTTGGTTACAATATTCATACAATTTCATACCCTTCTAGTTTATTTACCATTATATCGGAAAGAATTTTCTATTGAAAAATAACAACAGCAGTGATAATAAGAAGACTCACTTGACTAAGCCAAGAATACGACCTGGACGCTTCCATTGAAACCCCACAAAACCACCGTGGAATTGGCACCATTTTACAGATGAGAAAGTGAGGCTTAGAGAGGTGAGCCAACCTCCACCCCATCCGACTCCAGAACCAGGGCTCACAACCACCACGTTACACTCCTGCCTCCCCGCCCCCCGGCCACCTCCTCTTTCATTTTTAACAGCTGCATAACAGTGCAACTCAGAATTCACAAGCTTTCCCCCCAATGTGACTCATTTAGAACATCCCAATTTTTCACTATTGTGATAAATATGTTGGTGGATATGACTTTTTCTTTTCTTTCTTTTCTTGGCCTTGATTTGGGATAAATTCATGAGGTACAGGTCAAAGACTCAACAAACTGAAAAATCAGCAAAATGTGGAGTGAGGACATTCGAAAGGGCTCTTCTCCATAAGGCAATAAGAACACTGGGAAAAATGATCAGAAACAACCTTTTCAGAACTCTGCAAATTAACCAAAGACTTGCAGCAATCTATGGAATGTTTAGTCAAGGAAAACAGCTGAATCTCAGTAAGAATAAGGGAACTTGGTGGCATTTTTACTTGCTTTATTCCTATCCACCCCTCCCCAGCTCCGCAGTAGCCTTAATAACTGGAGTCTGTATTCAGAGTGGAAACAGCGGCTTGACAGCCACTGAAAGCGGCAGAATGTGTCTGAGCTCCATCAAAGCCCCTTTCCCAGAGAAATGTCATTATTTTTCCTCTCTGGCATTTCCCTGGAAGAGCCCACCCTTAGACTGAAGCGGGGGCTCAGGCCTCGGAGTCAGTGAGCCAGGACCCGCCCTGAGCCAAGGCCCATCCCACGCACACGTCTCTGCCTGCCCTCCGAGCCCCAGGCCCAGGGCCGCAGAAGGGGAAAAGCGTGCGCTGAGAATTCCAGCGATTAACCATAAAGCTTTCGGAAATTCAATTATTGTTTATCCAAACCCTTTTGGGCAACGCATTGTAACAAAACATAAATGCGTTTCGGGCTGGGTGTCTGGCCCTTTCCCAGGCTCCAGAGAAGCTGGCCTTGTTGGTTTCCTGAGCACGCCACACAATGGGGCATCCTGGCTGCTGGCAGCCCCCGGGGGACAAGAGGCCCCTCCTGCCTGGGTTCCAGACCTAGGCTGCTGTCTGGGCTCTAGGAACACAAGGGGCTCCAGCCAGAGATGTCAGGAAGAGCGCTGAGCACAGCCCCACAGCCCAGGGCGCCTCCTGTTCCCAGCGCCCCTCCCCGCCCAACCCACCCCACCCCCTGCGCAGCTGTGGTACCTCATGGCGCGAGCCGGGCCCAGACCTGCTGACTGTGCATGCGGGCCGACCTTCATCAACATACAAAAACAACTCACATCAGTAAAAAAAAAAAAAAAAAAAAAGTGCACATGAATCTGTGTGTGTGTGTGTGTGTGTGTGTGTAACTCGTGTAAAAGAGGTAAACAAAGAGAGTCTATGTTTTAGGTTTGGAAGAGAATTCAAAATAGTGATACTAAAAAAAAACAGCGATACTTATTATGCCTTATTTTTCTCACCAGTCAAGCCAGATACAAAAGCCTGGGGTAACTGTGAGCATCTGACTGACTGCACTCAGGAAAGCCCTAGTACAGGGCCACGCACACAGTAGGTGCTCCACACGTTACAGCTGTTGTTACTAAGCCCCTACAATGTGGCAGGCCCCAGTATCAAATGCTCCCTCATAATAAACACTGTGAGGCTGGACTTACCAGCTCCCACTTTACAGAGGAAGAAATACCAACGCTGAGAGATAAAGTGAGTCGGCCGTAGAGCAGGTACGGAATGCACACCTTGTAGGAGCCCGCTGGCAGGAGCCAGGTCACGTGGATTTGGCATCCCACCCAGTCCCGGGGAGAAGGTGGGCGCTAAGCAGACGGCCGTGGCTAAAACATAAACAAGGGAAAAGAAAGGGTTTAAAAGCAGGAGGAGACACAGAGGGAGGCTGGGAGAAAGAGGCACCAAGGATGCTGTCAGACAATAACGTTTAGTGAAAAGATAAACAAAAAAGCCTAGAATGCAGAACAGCGTCGATGTTGTAATAACAACTACCTCAAGCTACGTACAGGTGGGAAAGACTGACAGGGTTCCGAGGGAAAACACACTTTAATTCGCCGCATTGGAAAGACTGTGGGTACATTTTTATCTTCTCTTTTTATTTCTGTTAACATTGATAAATGCTTATGCAAGAGTAATTTTAAATGCTTTCAGAGATAAAGAAATCACAAAGAAAACCAAAGAACTTGACTACATAAAAATTGGAAACTTCTGCATGTTAAAAAAAAAAAAAAAAAACTAAAACAGAAAGACAAACAACAAATGCAAAAGACTTATTTGTAGGAAATATGATAGACAAAGGGTTAATTAATAACAACATCCTTATTAATATTAAACACTTCTGAATACCAAAAAAAAGCATTAAAATCACGAGGCAAGTAGACAAAACACATGGGCGCAAATTAAACACACAACTACTTCATACACTTAAGGAAGAATGTTCAGTCTTACCAGTAATTAAAGAATCACATATTATAACAGGAGTAAAACAACATTCTATCCTAAATGTTTCAAATATGTATTTTTTAAAATATTTTTTTAAAGTCTTTATTGAATTTGTTACAATACTGCTTCTGTTCTATCTTTTGGTTTTTTGGCCGTGAGGCATGTGGGATCTTAGCTCCCCAACCGGGGATTGAACCCGCACCCCCTGCATTGGAAGGCAAAGTCCTAATCACTGGACCGCGAGGGAAGTCCCCATATATATTTTTAAATTAGATACTAGAGCTCACCACTGGCACCTGTGTAAAATGGAAAAGAACACAGAGATGCACAAAAGGTTCTGAAGGGCTCCTTCCCTTTGACCTAGTGACCCCATACCTGGGGCTCTCTCAAGAGGAAAAACCGAAAATACAGGCAAAGTTTAATGATGGTCAAAGATGTTCACCCAGGACTATTTATTTACAAGAAGGAAAACTTAAGCCATTTCAAAGGGTCAGGAACAGGTTACATGAAGAACTGCTCTATATAATGTTAAGTAATAAAAGCAGAAATCAAAAATGTAAATACTTCATGATTACAATTATACGTTTAAAGAGGGGGAATTGAATTCAGCAAAGTTGACCTTATAATAGCATCTAAAGGAATTAAACACTTAGGAATAAATTTAACCAAGGACATGTAAGGCTTGTACACCAAAAACTACAAAACCTGTATAAAAGAAATTTTAAAAATCTAAATAAATAGAAAGACATCTGTGTCAATGAATCGGAAGACTTACTCCTGTTACGATGCCCACTCTACCTAAAACCATCTACAGATTCAATGCAGTCCCTATTAAAATTTCAACCATCACTTTCTAAGCTGGAATGGAAAAGCAGATCCTCACATTCCAATGGGAGGGAACTGCAAGGAGCCCAAATGGCCAAAATAATCTTGAAAAAGAAGCAGAAAGTTGGAGGACTCAGCTTCCCAATGGAAACTTTCCTCAAAGGGACAGTAAGTGAAACAGCGCAGTACTGGCGTAAGGACAGACAGAGACCAGTGGAACCCACATATATTTGGTCAACTGATTTTTGACAAGGACAAAAGGGAAAAGGACAGTCTTCAACAAATGGTGCTAGGAAAACTAGAAATCCTCAAATGAATGGAGGTGGGCCTTTAACATATACCATACATAAAAAATAACTAAAAATGGATCAAAGACCTAAACTTAAGAGGTAACACAATAAAATTCTTAGGAAAAAAACTGGGGAAAATCTTCATGACATTGAATTTGGCAACAATTTCAGGACTATGACACCAAAAGCACAGGCAAAAAAAAAAAGAAAAGAAAAAAAAGAAAAAAAATTGGATTTTATCAAAATTTAAAACTTCTGTGCATCAAGGAATACTGTCAAGAAAGTGAAAAGACAACGTACAGAATGGAAGAAAACATCTGCAAATCTGACAAGGGATTAATGTCCAGAATAGATAAAGAACTCCTTCAGCTCAAGAACAAAAACAACGTGACTAAAAAATGGGCAAAGGACTTGATAGCCGTTTCTCCAAAGAAGACATACAGTAGCCAATAAGCACATGAAGAGATGCTCAACATCAGTCACTAGGGAAACGCAAACCCAGACCACAATGAGGTACCACCTCATACCTACTAGGATGGCTATGAGAAAAAAGGAAAACAACAAGTGCTGGCGAGGATGTAGAGAAATTGGAGCCCTGATGCACTGCTGATGGGGATATAAAACGGTGCAGCCACCATGGAAAACAGTAGGGAGGCTCCTCAAAAACTTAAACATAGAATCACCATGTGATCCAGGAATCCCACTCCTAAGTACACACCCAAAGGAATTGAAGCAGGGACTGGAATAGATATATGTACACCAATGTTCATAGAAGCATCATTCACAACAGCCAAAAGAAAACAACCCAAGTGTCCATCAAGAGATGAATGGATAAGCAAAATACGGCCTATACACACAATAGAATACTATCTGGCTATAAAAAGGAGTGAGATTCTGACACACGCTACAACACGGATGCATTACGCTAAGTGAAACAAACCAGACACAGAAGGCCAAATATTGCATGGTTCCATTTATATGAGGTCCCCAGAACAGTCAAATTCACAGAGACAGAAAGCAGAACAGAGGTTACCAGGGCCTGGGGGAGGGGGGGGGAGGAGTGACTGGTCAGTGGGGACAGAGTTTATGTTGGGGTCATGAAAAAGGATTAGGTTACAGACAGTGGTGATGGGTACACAGCTTTGTGAAGGCATTTAATGCCACTTAATTGTAACTTTACAGATGGATAAAATAATAAACATTACGCTATGTATATTTCACTACGATTTTTTGAATGTGGAAGAAAGGGTGGGGGTGATACTATGCACGGTGAAAAGACAGGAATGGAGTAAACCAAAAGGTCAGCAGCTGCTCTTCTGAGAAACCTTTGGGTGGTCTCCACTTTCTTTTAACTCCTTTTCTCTATTTTCCAAAGGTTCTTTCCATGACTCTTTGGATAGGAAAAAAAAAAAGTTTTGTTTTTTTACCACTTCTTAGGTTTTGATACGTACATAGCTCAGCAGTCTAAATTTCTCCTTTCTAGATAGAAAGTTTCTTCACATTTGGACCAGCATTTACAAAGGATTTACCTAACAAGGGACCATAAGAAAAGGAAATCGTCACTCTTAAAATGATTTAAAGAAGTTCTCGCTGCACGGAGGTAACAGCTAAGTTCTCCTAAGAGGTGACTGCCTTGGCTGGCCCGGGCCCATCGATCGGCCCACTAAGCTTTCCTTACTGGAGCTTTTCCAGCCCTGTGCGCGCTAAATGAAGAGAGCAGAGGTGTCAAAGGCCCTTCAGTGGCCAATATCCTCTGGATGTGTGAGAAACGCTGTGATTTGACCTTCAACCAATAAATTAAAATAGGAATAGTAATTTAAACACGTAAGTGAGAATTTTCCTTAAACTTAACTAATCGAAATAGTTGATATTAATTTACCCTTAATAGTATCCTAAGCCCTTCCCAGAAGGTCTCGTTTATAGCAAATGACACTGACATTGTGCTGGGCTTTTACGCAGGAGTCCAAAGGACCTGGTCTCCCCTTTCTGACAAGTAAATAAAATGGCAGGGAGATCAAATAACTCACTAAAAAGAAGATATAATTTTTTATCTTCCTTTTTACAGTCTCATATCCACTTCCGCTGGGAATAACAAAGTCTGAATTCTTATGCAACACTTATCTAAATGTGTCGATTTTATCAGATTGATGAATTTTGCTAACAAAAGCAGCACTAGGAAATCTTTTATGACATATTTGGCCCATTCTCAGGGCTGAAGCTTTAATTTAACCAACTTGAGAATTCTGAGGGAGAGCTGCAGGTGTTAGATCTGAAAAAAAAATCATAAATGGGAAGGCATATCAATCTTTATGACGGGGAAACAAAACCATTTCCACTTGCGTGCCCTCCACAGGCAGGAGAAGGAGAGGTGGCCAAGGCAGGATATTGTCTCGGGCTGCGGAGCGAAGAGGAAGCGGCCCTGTCGCCCAGTGCCTGCTATTTAGTGCTGACCAAAAGGCGCTGGCCCGGGGGCAGGAGACGAGCCGATAAAACAAGGTTTGCCGACACCGTGTGCTCAGCAGAGTGCATTCTCGTTTTCCTGACCATGTGGGAACAAGTCATGCCCATGGCCGCCCGAGTGCCCAGGTGGCTTTCTGCCCCGTGGTCCCCACACCCCTCCCCCGCGCCCTGCCCGGGAGCACCGTCACCCTCCTGCCCCCGCAGGTCTCCACGGTAAGCGGCAGGAGCTCGACAGGGCTGGAGGGCCTCCTGCTCTAGACCTCCCGGGCCGCCCTGCTGTCCTCTCCCTGTCGGCTCCCTGCTGCCCCCTGGACTCCCCCCACCCCCCCGCCCCTACTTCCCACAAGATGAAATCATAACCCCTTGGCATGAAATACTACAGGCCATGTGATCTGGCCTTTCTCCGTGTCCTCTCCATCCGTCCATCCACCGGTCCATCCATCCGTCCGACTTTATAAGCCTCTGGGACAGATATCCACTCATCACCCAAACGCACCTCTCCCTTTCGATAACCGAGGTGCAGCTAAGCGGGTGGTAAGCAGGCAGGACTGAGTCCTCACCGTCAGGATGGGGAGGGGTGCGGGGGGCGTGGGGCTGACACCTGGACCTGTCTGGGCGGTGCCCGGCTCTGACTGCTCCCGCAGGATACACCCCACGGCGGCGAGCCGGCAAGACACCGGCAGCCTGGGATTCCGAACGCGGTGCAGAGCTGGACCGCCCTTCCTATGACCCACTTGTGGCTTCTCTGTGCTCCTGGCTCTTCTGGCCTCTTGCAACAGCACTGCAGCCTCCACCCGAGATGCGCGCAAGCGCCCCATCCGGGTCGGCGGAAGCAGGTGTGCCCCGACGCCCTCTCATCAGCACACCTACCTGGTGTGCTCCAGGGTCTTCTGCATCTTCTTGGTCATCTTCTCAATGGCCGCCTGTCTCTTGCCTTCGGGTAGGAGGTCTGTCTTGTTCAGCACCACGACCAGCTTCTGGCAGGCAATCTGCCCAATCACAAGGCACTCAGCCGACTGGGTCTGCATCCCCTTGGTCACGTCAATGACCAGCACCATCAGATCGATGATCTGGGCCCCTGGGAGAAGAGAGGACAAGGTCAGGGAGGAAACAGGGCAGCTGACTCTGCAGAAAGTTGCCCGATGCCCTAGGTCCAGCAAAGCGAGCCAAGATAAAGTTGGGGGTGTCGGGCTGTGAACGACAACCACGACCTCCCGGCACCAGGCAGGGGAGTCTCTCGACCGTGAACGCTGGCCCCCTCCCAGTTCTGTGACCTGATTCCCCCCATCTCTACATGGGCAGCCCGGCAGGCTTGCTAGGGGCTCCAGGAGCCCGTGCGTGTCATGGGGCTGGCAGCGCGAGGACTCCCTACGCAGAAGCTCCTTTCATTGTGCCCAGTGTCATTTTGTCAGCCCGCTAGGTGAAAACCAGGTCCCAGTGTAGTCTCAAGCTGCTTCTTGCTGTTGGCGAGGAGGGCATCTTACTCTGATGTGAGCTGCTTGCCTCCTGTCTGACGTCCCCCAGCCACCTGGCCTCCCTGTTGGTCCTTGGACCCCTGCCACCCTGTAAGGTCTCTGCCCCAGCCCCTCCCCCGGCCCGGCCCGCTTGTTCAGGGGTTAACTGCCGGCCCTCTCTGAGTCCTGGCTCAAATATCTCCTCTCAATGAGGCCCATCCGGACAGCTCGATCACGACTGCAGCCCGCCCACCTCCCATACGTTCCGAGCCTTCTTTTCCTGCCCTGTTTCCCTAGGACGCTTAGCACCCTCCACCTGTCCGTGAAACTCACGCACCGTGCACTGTTTGCTTCTGACCTGGCCTCCCCGACTGCCCTGCAAGGGTGGGATGGAGGCCAGAGGGTTGCCATTGATACTGCTTTCCCTTCTGACTGGATTGTTGCTCGTTGTTGCCAACTTAACGAAGCCAAGAGTAGGTGCTGAGGGTGCGTGCATGGGCACTGTTAATACCATGTCTCCTTCCAAGTGGATTGTTGCTCTTTGTTGCCAATTTATTTATTTATTCATTTAATCGATTTTTTCCATATTCTATTTATTTATTTGGCTGCGCCAGGTCTTTAGCTGCGGCATGCATGCGGGATCTAGTTCCCTGACCAGGGGTCGAACTGGGGCCCCCTGCATCGGGAGTACGGCGTCTAAGCCGCTGGACCACAGGGGGAAGTCCCTGTTGCCAATTTACAGAAACTTTTTAAACACTGAGGAGCCAAGAGGAGGTGCTGGGGTGCTGCGTGGGCACTGTTGCTACTGCTTCCCACTCCCATTGGAGTGTTGCTCTTTGTTGCCAATCTAAAGAAACTTTTTAAACATTGAGGAGCACATCCTCTGAGGGGAAAGCGCATTTTAGGCTTCTCTCCCCACTTATCTTTGGCTTTTATGACTTCTTTTTCCCATGCAGAAATGTCTGACTTTTATGTTGAAATGGTCAGTCTTTCTGTCTTTCTCTCTCGTTTCTGGGTTTGGTATCTTACCTAGGTATTTTTTTACTTTTAAGATTACATATTTTTTTTCATGTGCTTTCTTCCAGTACTTTTACAGTTTTAAATGTCTATGTTTCAAACCTTAATCCATTTAGACTGTATTTTGATGTAAAGTGCAAGATGGAGATCTAACTTGAGTTTTATCTGGACGGCTACCCATCGTCGTCCCTGAGTCACAGTTACGTGCTTTCCCCCGTTTACAGACCCGGACAGTGAGGCTCAGAAAGGAAGGGTGGGTACCCAGGACTCTGTACCACGCACCCTGCGCTCTCGGCCAGCCCCCTCCCCACTCAGCGCTGTGGGTGTTTTGTTGCAAGTCTCCGGCACTTATTGGGTTTGGGCTTTTCTTCCTTTCGGCAGGGCTCCAGCACGCCTCTGTCTCCTGTCCTGTCCTCTGCTGCTTATTTTTTCCTTGTGTCTGACACGGCTCTCTTTGTTGTTGTCCTGTCCCTCCTCTGCCGACACTGCCCTGTTGTCCTGGGCTCTCCGGGTGGTGGTGAGGGGCTGTGCCCGGGCTCAGGGCTGTCCTGAGGACACTGGCCGTTTGCCTTTGCACCTTGTCCACTCCCCTTCCTCTTCCTGTCCTCGGGCCCTTTCCCACCTGCTCTTCGGGACGCTGTAGGGTCCCCAGAGACTCAGGAATGCAGGATTCCGGCCAAGAGGCAGCTGGCAATAGAAAAAGCAGACATTTGAATTCAGACAGCTCCGAGTTCTAGCCCTGCCTTTGCTGCTCACTGTCGTGTGACCTGACCTCAGAGTTCTCTCTATTAGAACGGGAGGGTCTCCTCCTCGCGGGGGTTGTGGTGAGGGTCAGAGCTGACGCACATCAGGCAGAAGTCACGAGCTGACCTGCTGTCAGGAGCCAGGCGGGCCGTACAAATGCCAGAGGAGGGGCAACGGGGAGCTGCGGGGCCCCGGGCGAAAGTGCTCCTCGGCCACGTCAGGTGCAGGCCCGGTGTTGCCGCATCTGCTGACCTGTAAAGAATTTTTACACGACCCCTCCTGGTTGTGAGTGTGGGCAGTTCGTGTAGGCTGCGCAGCGTCCCTTCCAGGGCCCACCTGTCTGCAGCCCGCCGTGTGCAGTCCTGAGCCCGGGCTCGGCTCCCGACCTGTGGGCCGGCCACTTGGGTTAGGCAGCCACTTTGGGGTTCCCTGCCAGTGGGGCGGCACGCTGGTCCTGCTGGATGCTGGGTCAGCTCGTCACCTACGGGATCTGGGGCGCCTGAAGCTTGCTCTCCTCCTGGTCCGTTTGGTGTAGCTCCTCATTCTCCCAGAGAAGAGGAAGCCAGGCTTCGCAGCTAGTGCCTTGTGGCACCTGGGTGACCAGGGGAGATGTCCAGTCCTGCCCAGGTGGTCCCGCTCAGGCGGCTCACTGCTGGTCTGGGGGAATTCAGCAGGATGCTTGTGGGGGAGCCCCCTTTGCAGGATCGCCTGCGTACTGGGGGACACAGTGTTCCAGGCCACTGGCTGGCACTTACCAAGGTCCCTGTGGGGGCCTCCTGGGTCTGCTGGATTTGGGGGCTGGCAGTGTTTGTTCCATGTGGCGGTAACTCCTCTCCCTCCTCCGCCAGGAAGAACCACCCCAGCAGCGCACTTCCTGGAGGCCCCTGTGCCCGAGGCGCTTCCCACAGCCTTGCGTGTGTCCCCTCCGGCGACTCCGCCCGCGAGTCCCCACGCACAGACTGAGGAGGCCGCCGCACTCGGGGAGTCGGTGTACTGGGAAATGGCCGTGATGATAGCAGGATATCAATTTCCACTGCGGTTTACGTTGTCGATAACGGTGCATTTGCACCGCTTAGTGAATACTTAATGTCACCAGTTAAATTTCTTTTTTTCTTTATTTTAAATTTGATATTATTTCCCCTTTTTTAGGATGCCCATAGCTTCTGATTAAAAATCAAATTTGGGTTAAATATCTGATTTGCTAAAATGTTTAAAGTTCTATATTCAGTCTCTCCAGCAGAAAACTTCTTTTCCCTGAACACATTTTTCCCCCTTTAGTCCCAGAAGGAAAGTTGCATCTCACAGATAACTTGTTAAATGCTGACCTTTCTAAGTTTTCCTTTATTTTTATTTCTGAAATGATTAAGATATATAATCTACAGAATTGGAAATTGTAATTTTTTAAAGTACTGAGAAACTCTAACCCTGTTATAATTATTCTGCAAACCTTTAAAGGATTCTGTAGTCAGTACAACTAGATGAAAAGCGCTGATAGACTGAGAAATATAGAGGGTCATTTGTGAGCTACAAGTTGTTGCCTTGTGTTTCCCACCCACTCGCTCACTCTGCCCCTCTAGTCTCAGAATGATTTCCTACCCTGGGTTCGTGGGAATCGGGAAGGACACTGTTTGATTCATTCTGGGGAAATACTAGGGATTCTGAAAAAGACAAGACGGGCCAGTTATGTCACTTCCTGTCGCCTGATCAAAGTCCGATGGAGAAACAGACTGACCGAGGGTTACTGCCAGGCGCGGGTGGTGCCTGGTGCTGACCCGGGTCTCCAGTGGGGTCAGTCGCGGGTGGTGCCTGGTGCTGACCCGGTTCCCAGTGGGTCAGTCAAGTCGCCGTGACCTCTGGACCCCTCAGAAGTCCCTGATGTCAGCTGCACGGCAGCGGGGCTCCTGCTGGAGAGGTAGCGTGTGGGCGCCGCACTGAGGCTGCAGATGAAGCCCCACGGCCCCTGAGTGTTTGGGTCCCGTCTGCATGCATCTTTCTGGGCCTGTTAGTTCAGTTTTATCTCCCATTCCCAGGATCCCAGCAGGCATCACAAGTGAGTGGGCAGATGGGGAGAGAACACAAGCCTTCTCCTCCAGCTTGCGGGCCAAGACAAGGCACTCAGGTAGTTCTATACACCAGCAGGGACCGGAATCTCAGTGTCAGGACTGGACTCTTGGTCCACCAAGTGGAGGAGGTGGGGAAGTTAGTCTGCTCACTCGGTCCAACAGAGATCAATGACGCTGTGCCCGAGCTGTGTCTTGTGCTGGAGGCTGCGAACACAGACCGAAAACCCAGGCCTTGGTCTGTGAGCCGCAGTGTGTGTGTGTGGGGGGGGGTCTCAGCGGAGGAGCGGGAGTCAGCGCACGGCGGGGAGGGGTGCGAGACGCCACGGCCAGCCCCGATGCTGGCGTCTGGCGGAGCGGGGTGACGACTGTGCGGGTGGAGGCTGGGCAGCGGCTGGGGCCCCGTTCGGAAGGACGGGCCATGTGGCCGACGTGATCTTGAATGGAAGCATGAAGGACTTCGGCTGGATCTTTACGAGAACCTCCTGAGAGGCAGGGCAGGTAAAGATGGGGCTGGATGGCTGGAGCTCTCCGCCGGGGGTCTGGAGAGCTGGCGTGTCCTACTTCAGGGAGGGAGTCCGAGTTACCCGGATTCCCCGCCCGTGGACCACGCCTGTGACTCCTGCCACGCCCATGGACACTACTACTACCACTACCGAGTTATGTGTGTTTAAATCAAGTCCTTTTTTGGAACTCAAATGCATTTACATTAAAAAGAACTTTACATGACAGTAAATGCATTAAATGTGCTGTAAGTAGAAGTTAACAGAGAAGATAAATAAAACAACAAAGCAAAACAGTGGAATGCACTGCTGTCCGATGTTAACGCGAGTTGAAACTCTGAGCCCCAGGCCTGCTCTGATATTAAGGGATCAGCAAGAGCCGGTAAAAGACACACTAGCCCTAAATCGAGTCTCTCTCTTCGACAAAATAGGGGGATTGGATGAGAACTGGGAAAGGCATGACCTTTGACCCCACCAGGGAGGAGTGTTACCGGGCGCCAGGCATGGCCTCACACCATCTCTCCTGGCCGCCCTGGAAGCAACGGACAGAGTACATACACCGCTCACAGCGGCCTCCTCGGAGGGGCGCACAGGAAGAGCAGAGGTGTCCACGCTTCCTCAGGGCAGAGGGGCCGAAGCGGGTCAGCCGCCACTCCTTCCCGGACGGAGGAGATGGAGGTGTACGCGTGGGCTCCAGCGCCACGGGCTCTCACGAGCCAGGGAGTCCTGCCCCTGCTTCCTTAAGCTACTGTGTCGTAGTCTATCTGGGGTAATCTTTTTAGCTGACTTTGCACAACAGTAAACTCCTGTTCAAGAGCAGCGAAAAGGAGCAGAAAATGGAATTTGAAATGTAGAAATAAAATAATTGTGGCCCATGAGCTATAATTTGATTTCATGCTTTACAGGGAAATGAAAGAAGCCTTCCTTAAAATGTACGGTTTCTGCTCTCTCCCCCATTCCCCTCCCCCCTTTAACCATTTTAGGATTTCCTCTAGCTCCGAAGAGAAAATAGGATTGTGGAAAGCGTTCAGCTCTCAAGTGTCAGTGCCACTCAGGGGCCAGCTCGGTTTAATGTGAACTTCCCATTCTGGGTAAGAGGAAATTCTTCAATTAATAAACCGGGTGTGCGGAGGCCAGTCTTTAAGGTTTAATCAATTTCATCTGTACTTAGGATAAAAAGACTGACTATTCTACTTTTTTTTTTTTCGTTTTCCTTCTTTAAAAAAATAATAAAACGAATGTTTTATTTTAAATTCTTTGAGGCTCGTATCTCCTGTCTCAGGAAATATTGTCTATTTCATGCAGTGAGTATGAAAACTCCCCCCCCCTTTTTTTACCTTTGCTAAGAATCTTTTTTCAAAAATAACTAAATTATTCTCTGTCCTCATATACTATAACAGCTTGGGAGATGATACGAATTATACAGGATTTTGGCAGACACCTTGTAGGGGGCTGGGGAGAGAGACAAATCACCAAATATGGATGCAGGAGCTCCTTCTGGACAAACGCTGAGAGGAGGGTGCGGGAACGTGCGCCCACAGCCCCTTCACCACCAGGGACGTCTGGGGCCCTGACAACCTCACCCTGGAGGCCTACCCTGTGGTCATCTGCGGGCACGAGGACCTCAGAACAGAACCAGGGCGTCTCCCCAGCAGGACCGAGTAAACATTCGGACTTGCCGACCAACCAGGACCGACAGGACTTCCCGGGACAGAGAACTCCTGAATCTTTGTCACGTGGTCCCTGGACACGCGGGGTCCGGTCAGATTCGGGGACAGAGGCCGTGGTCAGGCCCCACGGTGGCGAGTCTGCGCCTCGGCTCCATGTAGCAGCTAAGCACTCTGGGCCATTTCTTCATCTACAGAATGGAGATAAAGCCACTACGAACCCTTTCCAAGGCTGTGTGGTGGGCCTCACACAGCACTTGGGACCCACAGGGCAGGAGGTTCCGTCCAACCCAGGTCCTCCCCATACTTTCACAAGGGGCCTGGGTGAAAATGCTACTTTTAAGTCAGTGTTTTTCACTAAAATGCTGCAAGCCCAGGGCCCTGTCAGTGTGAGCTCCATTGTGAGAATGAGCACGAAAGCCTCACCGCTCTGAACAGCGGCTGCAATGATCAAGGGTCTCAACGTGGCTGGTCAAGGTGCAGCCAACAGCCCATCTCTGCAAGAGACACCTGGGGCTCAAAACAGCAACTAACAGTACACAGTGAGCACTCACTAAGTGAGAGGGGAGGGAGAGGGGAGTGGAGGAGACGGGGAGGGGACGGGGAAGGGGGGGCATCCAGGAGGCACAACTGCTGCAGCTGCTGGACCAAGGTAGTGGAGCCAGAAGCAGAGCCAGGCTCTGCCTGACCTGAGGCCCCTTGTCCCTCCACCAGGCCTCCTCCTTGAAGTGGCACCAAAGAGGATTTCTCTTGAAGACAGCAGCCTGTGATCCCAAGGAAGAACCGTGCCCTGGGTTTAGGGCCCACATGCCTTCGCTCCCCGTGGAGAGGTGTGAGGGGAAACGCCTGCAGACACAGGTCACGTGAGAACAAGGATGGGATGTGGGGGGGACGCACTGCCTCCCACCTCAGCCCCCCTCCCTGCCTGTCCGGGGAGAGCGGGTCTCTGAGCCTCACCCTCACCCGTCTGCAAACAGGATCCCCTGTCACCTACAGGGCAGCGTGGGGCTCCCAGATCCCACGTGCAAACCTCACGGCCCAGGACCTGGCCCAGCAGGTGCTCATCCACGGTCGTGACTGAACCTGTCCTGAGGCGGGGGTGGTGGGCAGACGTGAACACCTGCAGGACCTGGTGGGTCCTCAACTGAGCGGCACGCCTGGCGTGAGACGAGGCACAAGTCTAGACGCCGCAGCCATTCCTAGGCCCTGGCTGGAGGGGGCAGTCCCCCCTCAGCTCCAGCCCACATAGCCAGAAAGGAATGTGGGCCTGGAGTTGTCAGATCTTCTGGTTTTTCAAGAGAAGCCAAAAATCGGGACCATTGTATGAAATTTGCCAATTTTTAAATGGTGACAACCAATTCAAAACAAAATGTTTAAACTGTATGGCCCAAACAAAACATGTCCATTGCCCAAAACCGGCCTGCAGCTCCCAGTGTGAGGTCTCTGGAGGGAGTTTTCTCGAGAAAGAGAGGTTGGAGGAACCAGAACAAACAACCACCTCTTTGGCCTCGTGAATCAGGAAAGCACTTAGGGACCCATCTGTTGAGCTCCGGCCCCTCCTGCCCCCATGACCCACACTGGGCCTCAGTGAGGACAGGAAAGTTCATCCTGGAGGGAAAGGGTGGCAGGCTCTCCGCTGTCACCAGGTCCCAGTGGGCTAGAGCAGAGGACACGAAGCCACGGGCCTGCGGTCAGACGAACCTCAGCTCGGACCCGGTCCCTGTAGGCCACAAGGGGCAAGCCGCCCCTCCCCGGCGCCTCGTGTAGGGCTCCCCAGGCCCCCACGCTCTGAACCGAGGCTGTAGCTATCACAGCCTGTCTACCAGGATGGGAGGGGCTGACACACGGCTGCTCTCTGGTGGTCTTCTCACTACAGCTTCAAGCACCGGTTCTCACACCGAGTCTCAAAACGCTCCCACGAGGTAGAAAGCCTGAGATGACCTAAGACGATGATTTTCCTGGAAGGGTGAAGCAGGAAAGCCTCAGTGGCACCAGGCCGGAATGTCCTCTAGGACAGACGCTCTCCTCATCTCGGCCCTGGGACGAGCCCTTTCCACGAGCGCCGCGCGTTGTCTTCACAGCTAATGTTTAGCGGCAGCAGGCACCGCTACCAACACCACGTCCTGCAGATGGACACGTGGAGGCCCAGAGAAGCTACATCACACCCAAGGTAAAGAGCCAGTCGGGGTGGCAGGCACTCAGCCCAGAGACCTGGATCCACAAGCACCATGTTACCCTGCGTGGGGAAGAGCTCAGAGCTCCCCCGAGGAGCAGAGAGAAGGGCAGTGGGATTGGGCCCCCAGCACCCCCCCCCCACGTGCCCCGCAGCTCCCGGTCGGCCCTGCTGTCCCCCCCTGGGACCTGGGCACAAGCCCACGCACCAAAGCGCTCCTGCCATCCCGTCCCTTCTCCTGGCACCTCAGACTTTGAACTGCAGCTCAGATGTCACCTCCCAGGGATCTTCCCGACTCTCCGTGGTCTGGATGAGGTGGCCCTCCCTTGGGGTGCCGTGGTCCCCACGCTGCCCAGGACAGCCCTGTTCTGTGACTCGTCCGTGCCCCTGCAGCCTACCCCCAGGGACAGAGGCCCCGACGGGCAGCAGCACAGAGCCGGTGGTCAGCGAGTGCCCCTACAGGGAATGAACAGAGCTGGGACGCAGTTAAAGCACTGAGCAGGGCCCTCCACCAGCCATGCACGGATTCCTCTCTGTTCTGTAGTGGTGACGTCCTCCTACACTGCAAAGAGGCACGTGTGCTTGTCCAGAAGCAGAGACAGAAGGAAGAAGGGAGCACGGACAGGACCGCACGCTGTGAACACCAGGGGGCTGGGACCTGCAGACAGAGTGCCCAGGGGCCTCCAAGGGCTGCATTCCCCCGGGAGAAGACCCCCAGCGATGGGGAGGAGGGGCCCTCACAAGTCCACCTGAGAGATGAAGCAGCTGAGACTCAGGGTGGGGAAGAAACTCAGCCAAGGTCGCAGATCCTGACCCCTCTGAACCCCGCTTCCAACCACCACCACCGTAGAGGTGGGTCCACCACTCACAAGGCACCGAGACAG